GCCGTAACAAATTGCCCCAAACTTAGCTGAAAACAGCACTGACTTCTCATTTTATAGTTCGGCTGGCCCTAAGTCCTCAGTGAATCTAGCCAGGCTAAAATCAAGGTACTGGCAGAGCTGTGTTCCTTCTGGGGACTCCATGGGCGAATCTACCTCTTTGCCATTTCCAGCTTCTGGAGAGTTCTGCATTCTGTGGCTTGTGGCCCCTGCATCTTCCTATCTATGATTCTGGTTTCCTCTTTTTAAGGACCCACATGAGAGAGCCCACCCAGAGGATCCAGCCTAATCTTCCCATCTTAGGATCCTTAACTTATTCACAGCTCTGAAGTCCCGTTGGTCATGCAAGGAAACATATTAACAGATCCCGGGGATTAGGGCAAGGTCATCTTTGGAAATGCATTTATTCTACTTCAGGGGTAGGACGGGGCTGAAATCCCAGCTCTGTTATCTGCAACCCTCTGTGCCTCAGTTTCCTCCTCTATGAAGTGGGATAATGATGAGGCTGGTGAAAACGCCTACCCCCGAGGATTGTAAAAGTTAAAGGGGATGATGTATGTTAAGGTGTTTTGTGAAGTTCTACAAACAGGTGGCTTCTTGCTATCAATAAAATAGTACTTGGGGAGAAAAACTAGTTCAAGCCAGTCCAGAGCTAGTTAGAAATATTTGTCTTCCTCAGCCAAGAAAACCAACTCTAAGTAAGACGACCTACTATAACTTTTCCTTCTCTTACCAGTATTGAAATGTGGGGTAACCGTTTCTCAGCCATTTGGCTCAACGAGGCCCTTCTTTTTGACCATAATTAAAGTCATGCGTGAGCACCGACTCCCAATTCTGTGACAGATTTGACTTCATCTGGGGATATCTGCTCAACATGCTTTCCATGCCTTCCCTCTCCCAGTAGTCAGGTGTTCTCCCCGCAGAGTGAAGAGCAGCTTGGGAAGCAGGAGAACCGGAAACCCAGACCTCTGCCCGCAAGGAAGGCACTCCCAAGGGGGCCTCCAAGAATGCATCTACAACATCCAGGTAGTAGGTGTGCCATAAATAACCAAAAAGCTCCGTTCTTCATACCTTCCATAGAATAGCCCGTTTGATTCTCAGAATAACACTATGAGATAGGTATGGGCATACTCCCATTTTGCAGATAGTAAAACTAAGGCACCGAGAGGTTAAACTGCTTGCCTAAGGCCATGCAGCTAGTAAGTAGCAATGCAGATATCCGGAGACTGTCAGGACTATCCTTTCCTATTTCCCTGGCCTCATCTCCTTTTCTCACCACCTGGGATATATACATACATGTTAACAAGATCCTTAAACCATGGCAACTAAATAATAATGGTAGGGAAGAAGGGGATAATGATAGCAATAATAATAATAATGCATGAGGCCAAAGGGGAAGACCGTGGGAAAAAAAGAGGAAGACGTACAGGTGGAAGGACATTGAGAGGGGACTGAACTGGGTTTGGGGTGGATGAGCCTGAGCAGTGAGCCCATGTTGGAAGTTGAAGCCAGTCCTACTCATTCAACAAACATTCACTGAGCACCTCGTGTGGGCCAAGCCAGGTGTTATCCTTGGTGTTGGGGAATTAGCAACGAAAAGGCGGACACGTCCTTGCCCTCGTGGAGCTGCTTCTGCATTAGAAGTGGGTAGGAACTAACTAATGGGAAAATATCAAGAAGCTAGGTGCTGAGATGAAAATAAAACAAAGCAACGGGTGTTGGAAGAAGCAATCCAATATGGGTGCTGAGTGTCCTGCTCTTCATTGCTCGGTATGCCAAGAATGAGAGACCCTCTCTACTAGGCCATTTCTCAGGCTTGTGTTTGTGGTGAGCAATCTTGTTTCCCATCACACATAGAGCAGGTTTGCTTACTGCTCACTATAGAAGCTATAAATTCCCCCACGCTCTTCTGCTGGAGTGCAAATCCATTATATGTAATGCATCCCACCAGGCCCCTCTGGGTCATCCCAATGGGACTTGGGAGATACGAATACCAGCGCCAACATTGTGCCCTACTACTTGCGAGGCTGTGAATAATGAATCCTTTTGTCTCTGACCCAAGAGTCTCGTGTCTTCTGCCAACATCCATGAAACCATGTCAGGCTAACTTAATAGCTTGCAAAGAGGATAACGTCTCAGATCCTGACAGAATAGTGGTGATAAAGTATAAAGGGGGGGACAGGATAGCTTGAGGTGATCTTGTTCTGATCTCAAGGACAGGGAAATAGCACCTGATCTTGAAATTCCATGTTGAAAATTTGGTGGTTAAAAAGATCTACTAATATTATAAATTAGCTGATTAGCCAAACTCCAGCTGTTGACTATAGGACAGGCGGGAAGATTTGTTAGGTTGGTCAACATGAGAAGGGAGTAGAGGTAACGGTGAAGCATTATGTTGTCTATAAGTTAATCTAAAATATTTTAACAGAGATAGTATAAGATCTCTGATTTATACATTATAAGTATAAATGTGAGTTCGTTTTGATTCATGCTTTATAGACAGCTAACATTTAGAACATTCTAATCAGAGTGTTCCAGGGGTGGGTGGTTAGCATTTCAAGTCAGTCTAACCTCTTGAGGTGGCCACCACAAGTTTTCAGCAATCTTTATCTTGGGTCAATGTCAGAGGCTTTGTTAATCAACATAATGGACGCTAGAAATTGTTTCTCATTGGTGAAATACGAAGTATTCAAGATGTGTGGATAGGCTTGAATTTTGTACGGGGACTCCCACTCTTGCATGAGCGGAGTTTAAGTGTCCAGGGAATCCAACAATACATGAGTTCTCAAACCTGGCTACACATTGTGATCGCGCAGCCTTAAGAAATCTGATACCGGAGTTCTGCCTGCCAACCTTGACTTAACTGGTGTGCTCCACATTTAGCTCAGCTGCTTAGGAGCTAGCTGTGTGACCTTGAGCAAGTTACTAACCTCTGTGAGCCTCAGTTTTCTCATCTACAACCTGGGTATAATAATATGCTTACCTCATCTGGTAGTTGTGAGGATTTAAATGAGTTAATTTATGTTGAGCGCTTAGTGTAAGAAGCAGTTCTCAACTACATGCTAGCTGTTATATTATTCGCATTCGCACTATTTTGATTTTGATTTTTGGAAGAGTTCCTAAGACATGATTATAGTGTCCAGCTGCTAGTTGGTTGAATCGTGCAACTAGAATATTTGCCTTGAATGAACCTTTCAGATGAGATGCCATAGGAACTCCTAAAAAGACAGAGGGAGCCAGAACTTGATCTTGCTTCCAGAATACATTGTAGGAACTGCTTGAGTGCCAGCTTGCTGATAAATGTCTGTGTAGGTGGCAGGACTTAGTCTGACACTTGCTTTCAGTGAAACCTGGTGGGAAATTTGTAGAGCACAGAACTTTGGCTCATATCTACCTCTGGTTCAGGGCTTCTTATTCCTTTCTAGGGCGATGGACCCCTTCAGCAGCCTGGTGAAGCCTACAGATACCATTGCAGGATGATGCTTCTAAATGCATCAAACAAAACACTAGGATGCAGCAGAAATAAATTACATTGAAGTACAGCTATCGAAATGTTAATGAACAAATTTATTATAATATGTGCACTCCTTTATGAATGCCTTAAATAGCAATGTCTAGCAGTGGGTAGTGATAAGCCCGAAAGATATTCTAGGATATTTGATAACAATTGTAACATGATATGAAAAAATTTATCTGTGATTTCTATTAGTGACAAAGTCACAAGTATTCTTATACGGCTGTAACTGGTTGTCTCACTCATAATGAAAGACGATGCTAAGTTTCAGTTAAAGGTTAACGAAAATAAAGATGTTATTTTTTTTTTCTTATCCAAGTTCATGGACCTTCTTGAATTCCATGACCCCCAGATTAAAAGCTCTTATTGGGAGGCTGCTAATAGCTGCCCAACTAATAATTGGGACACAACAAGCATTGTTCCATCAGACTGTGAAGCTACTCAATGGAAAGAAAAGGTGCCGTGGGAGAATTTTTTTTTTCAGTTGCTGTTGCCATATAACAAAAGACTCCAAGGCTTAGTGGCTTAGAACAATGATTTATTAATTTCCTCATGATTCTGTAGGTCGAGTAGTTGGCCAGAGCTCAGGTGGGCAACTTTCTGCTGGTCTCAGTTGGGTTTTTTCATGTGCCTCCCTTCACTTAGGAGGTTGGCCAGACCTGGAACTTCCAAGTTGGCCTCGCATTTTATGTGTTTCTACTCAGGCTGCCGTAACAAAACAGCACAGGCTGAGTGACTTAAACAACTGAAATTTATTTCCCCACAGCTCTGGAGTCTGGGAAGTTTCTGGCAGTGTTTGGTTTCTTGTGAGGGCTGTCTTGCTGGTGTACAGACAGATGCCTTGTTGCTGGGGTGGGAAGAGAGCTCTGGTCTCTCTTCTTATAAGGAAGATACTCTCAGATCAGGGCTCTACCTTTATGGTCTCATTTGATCTTACTGATTTCCAGAAAAGACCTATCTCCAAATACAGTCACGTTGGGGATTAGGGCTTCAACAAGAATTTCAGGGGGGATCAATTCAGTCCATAGCACCCTCCAAGGCCTCTCTTCATGCATAACCTGTGACCATGCAGTTGGGTAGCCTGAATTTCCTCCTAGCATGACCCCTGGGCTCCAGAGAGACAAAGAAGCCCCTGCCAACCCTTCAGGCCTGGGCATGGCAGTTCAAAATTAATTCTACAACCTTCTATTGATCAAAACAAGTCACAGGCCAGTCCAGATCCCAGGGGAGAGAATATGGGCCCCACCTCTTTTTTTAATGACTTTTTGGGGGGAGAGAGAGAGAGAATGAGAGAGAGAACAAATGGGGGAGGGGCAGAGAGAGAGGGAGACAAAGAATCCGAAGCAGGCTCCAGGCTCTGAGCCGTCAGCACAGAGAGGACGCGGGGCTCGAATTCACACATCATGAGATCACGACCTGAGCCGAAGTTGGACACCTAACCAACTGAGCCACCCAGGCGTCCCCACGGTCCCACCTCTTAACGTGATGAATGGCACAAAAGCACCGGGAGAAAGGGAATTACCAGGGCCATGTCTGGACTCTCTTCACCGCAGAGACCGAGGAGGACTGGGGACGCCTCAGACCCAGGATGAGAGAAAGGTGAGTCAAAGCTGCCACTGAGCTTTTTCTGGTCCAGGACTTTCTTTTTTTGCTCACACATCAGGCTTCTTCCCTCAGAGTTCCCAGTAGGCTCCAACTAAACCACCTCGAGGCTTGAGAAGTGTTAATCTAAACGAAAAAAATGCGCCGATTTTATTAATACTCATTAACGGACTTAATTATGCAGTGTGTCCTATACTGTCAATAACACAGGGGGCTGTTGCTTTCAAAATGAGAATTAAGTGCACACTTTTCCCCTCATTATCTCAGCATGTCTATTTCTGCTATCTAAGCTGGAGGAAACTTCCCGCCTTTGGGAGGCTTTGCTGAATTCTACCCCAATCCTTGGGTGGAATCAGCCTGTCCTCCCTGGGTGCGGTAACCTCATACTTGCCTGTTTTCAACGGCTTTACCGAGGTATCATAGTGGCACTATATATCACTTGCCTGTTGTAACAACACCGGATCGGAATAATCTTTTACCTGCCACTCTTACTAGATCACTGGCTCTCCCCTTAGCTACACATTGGACTCCTCTGGGGAACTTTAAAAAATACTGCCACTTGAGCTCCACCCCCACCCCAAGAGATTCTGATTTAACAGGTCTGGAGGCATTGACGCTTTTACAAGCTCCCCAGGGGATCCTAATGTGCAACCAGGGTTGAGAACACAGCCTTAAACTGTGGCCTCC